CGGTGATGGTGGTGGTAGCATGGGGGAGGTGGAGAGATTTTTTGGGAAAAGCATGAGTAAGAATAAGTGTGATCGTAGAAAAGGTTAGCGATAGATGCAGACTTGTGTAAAGTACAAGAAATGAGTTGTTTCTTTACTAATGTGGCGCAGCAGAACCTCACGGGAGTTTGGAAACGCTGACTGTGTTGCCAAGCGGGTCTACATACGGTCTATTTGGGTAAGAACCAATTAAGAACATATGAGACGCTCTGAATCACCACAATCCTTTTTTACAAATGTAGATCATATTTACGGGTTTTGGTAATTTAAACACATTAGCTGGCTTACTTCATCGTGCAGCTACCTGCTACATTTCACCACAAACCCTTCGACTGCTTTCAGAGTTCAGAGCCCGAATCAGTCGCAGCAAAGAGACGGAACAGAAAACGAAAGGAAGGGATTCTGCTCTGGGGAGGAAAAAAAATATAAAAATCAAGGTTTGGGGTATTCTGCCCCCTCCTCCTCACTCCCACCCCCTCCCAAATTCCTAATCAAGACCTATCATTTGCCATCCTCCCATAACTCCTGCCATCACTACAGTGCAATCAATTTGTCATCACTCTTTGTGTGCCATGCAGTTCTGCTAAACCTTACAACTTGCAGCTGGAGGGAAAGAGGGAGGGAGGGAGAGAAGGAGGGAGGGAAGGGGGGAGTGGAGATGGGGGGAGGGAGGGAGGAGTGAAGGGTAAAAAATAGGAAGTTGCCAATAGTTTAAAATGGAACTCCTCCTTCGTCTGACTCGTGTTTGTTCTCGTCCACTCATCAAAGAAATAAATGCCTCATTTTCTTTCCCGCTCTCACTGCCGGCACACTCACTCCCTCATTCCTGCTGAATAAAAAGGCTTTCAGTCATCCCACTATGCATCTATCCATCCATCCATCTATCCGTTTGTCCACCTATTCCTTTGCCCCCACCCATTGTGTCCATTAGGGCTAAAACATTTTGATCAAGAAAGGCCTTGGGCAGAGAATACATAAGACTCTCTCTCTCTGTCTCCCTTTCTCTCTCGCTCTCTCTCTCTGTGCCAGCCTCTGATTGACCATTAGGGCCATTGATGAATGTGGCTGTCAGAGGGCAGACAATTAAATCAAATATGAAACAAAGTCTCTCTGACGGGCCCTCTGATGGAGCAAACCAGTCTTCTGCCTCACGATGAGGTTAATAGTTACATTTTTATTCCCACTCTGCGTGCATGCATGTGTGTGTGTGTGTGTGCACAAAAAAGCCTTCTCATTTGCATGGGCCACCCTCGTAACCTGCAGAATCTCTGAGTTGCACAGAGTTGCAAACAAGAAGTGTGCTAAGGTAAAATGGCTCCAAATAAAATGCTAAAGGTCATGCATGAATCATTACTAATTCACTATGAAAATGAATGGTAATTAGTGCTCCGAAGCCGCATTTGTTATGCTAAGACAAAAGCTACCAGAATTAAGATCGTATGTGCATGACTTAAAATATCACATTTTTTAAAAAAGGAATGTACGGGGGGAGGGGGAATAACGTAAGCTAATGAACGCAGGGGGAAAAAAATAGACACAAAGATGCAATTAAATGTGGTGTTAATGGCTAGAAGTTTGCGAGGCCAGACATGACTTCAGCAGGCCCTGCTTTTCTACCGGAGTGAGTGAGTGAGGGAGGGCAGGCGGGAGGGAGGGAGGGCTGATTTATTGACACTTATTGGGAATGAACAGATCAAAGGCTCGCCAAGATGACAGGTGATCAATCAGGCGTCAAATCAAAGATGGCAATTGTCCATTAAAGCTCTCTTCCAGTATACACTCCCTCCCCGGGCTGTGAAATAATCTTTACACTGGAAGAAAAGTCTTTCCCAGAAACTAAAAGGAAAGAAAGAAAGAAAACAGACCAAACCCTGATGAAAACAAGGATGGCACATCCCGAAGACATTTTCACACAGCTCACTATATGAAAGTACAAATGAAACAGAAACTGCAGAGTAAGAACAAACTATAATGGTTTTTATATGAATATTATAGCGATGCATTGATACGATGGGGAATAAAATATACTAGAAAATACAATAAGGTCGCTAAAACTAAGTATTGTGTTTTAAAATACTTTAAACATTTCTGCAGGAATAATACAGAAACACCACGGTGTAGAAGTGTAGGCCATCACACAACACTGTGTTACTAACATCAGTGTAATGTCAGAATAGTAGAGAGAAGCTTATCACATACAACAAATACGGATAAAAGAATTCACGTCTCTGATTCATCAGGACGGTTTTCAGTTCCCTAAAAGAAATCTCCAAACATCAAAGGCGTCCGTGACAGTCAGCTGACCCTAGAGCTCCACCAAACCACTCCAGTACAGTTTCTTAATTCCATAGTCAATATCTACCAGCAGAGGAGGAAGAAGGAGGAGGAAGGGAAGGAGTTGCCGTAAAGGACAAAAACAAATCGAGAGAGACCTACAAGAGATCCAAGTTCTGGAAGACGAGGTGAGAAAAATCAAGAAAGACTGCTCACAATAAAAACTCTCAAACTGACACTTCCTTTCGGGGACACATGCACTGAGCTGACCTGTGACCTTTTACGAAGCCAGTAGGACGGTCACTCTAATTACGGGGTCACACTGTTAAACACAGAAATCATTCCACGGCATGTAAGGAAAAAATCTACAGACGACCACTATTCTTTTCAGTATAAGTGTATCTGAACACTGCTTCTCTTCTGAACTGACTTTTCTTTAAAAAAAAAAAAAAAAAAGTTTAAAATGCCCATCACAGATTTCCAAAGCTTCAGGTGACATCTTCAGATGTCTTGTTTTGTCCAGGCGACAGATCAAAAGCCAGAGAGGTTCAATTTGCAGTGATTTAAAGAAAAAAGAAAATACTTTTTTAAAAGGCTGTAAACTGAAGGGGGTCACATTTTTGGTTAAAAAATGACTCAAACAATAAATGACTTTAAAAATAGTTGGAGATGACTTTTTTTTCCCGCCTATTAACCTCCCAACTAATTGACTAATCATCTGAGCTCCTTCACAGACAACAAAAAGAACGAACCTTGCACTGTTTCCTATTTGCTCTTAGCAAAAAATGTAAATGTAGATTTTTAAATTTCTAAAAATGTAAGAAATGAAGTATCCCCCAAAATAGTTGGGGTGGATATTACACACATGATAAAAGCAATAATTGCCACAAAGCTCATAGGATATGTTTGGTAAGAGAAGGATGTTGGAACTGAGAAAAGTGTGTGGTGCTCTGTTTGTGCCTCTTCTTCTTACTTTATTGTGTAAAACAAAACATGTTGCAGTTAAACAAATGTTGTTTTGTGGCTGAAAGAAATATCAATGAAAAGTAACTGAACTGGGGAGGAGGGGGTCGCAAACAGAGAGAGAGAGAGGGAGAGGTAGAGAGAGAGAGAGAGGAAGAGAGAGTGAGAGAGAGAGAGGTAAATCGCATGCAAACCAAAACTAGTGCGTACCTGAGGCGCGCCGAGGCGCTTGCTGCTTCCTCCGCGGCATGTCGGCTTTGGGGGCCCGGCAGGGAGTTCGTCTCTGGCCACGGTGATCCGAGGCTGCCTGGGGGACCAGCGGAGCTCTGATACACAGTTTCCCCCCCTGGGTGCGCTCTCAGGGCACCCACATAGATCGGGGTGGGTGGGTGTAAAGGAGGGGAGGGTGTGCAGTTTTCGAACAAAAAAAAAAAAAAAAAAAAAAGAAATCAGAGGAGAAAAAGAGCCAGTGGAAGCGAAGATAATTCAAAACGAGAGGAGGTGTGTGCGGTTGAGGGGTAAACCAGTGTGGCTTCCCCCTCCCGGTTGGCTGGTCTTCTCTCGTCGGGTTGCTCGATTGCTCTCTCGCCTGCTCCGACTTGGATGGACGCGATGGGTGCTGGAACAGAGGGGGCTCCGCGGTAGAAAAACAGAAGGGAAGGTACCAAAAAAAAAAAAAAGAAAAAGAAAAAAAGAGCGCCTTGTGTCTTCGTGTGATCCTCTACTTGGCGGCTGCAACAGGCAAGCTTGAAGGGATAAAACCAAATGACTGCGTCAGTCAAAAGTCCGCAAACAAGGGGACACACATCAAGACCTGACACAACTGAAACCCTGCGCCTCTTCTACGGTTCAACCTCTCCGCCGCTGATAGGCGTCACGTAGCTCCCCGTCTCTCTCCCTCTCTCTCACTCCCTTTCTCTATCTCTCCCCCTCTCGGTGTCTTTAGTATCCCTCTCACTCTCTTTCTGACATTCACTGTCTTATTCTAGCCCCCGTTTATTTCAAGCGACCAGGGTCATCAGAGGCTTTTGGTCACGGTTTGGAAACGTGCGTAATATCTGGGCATATTACAGACGGGGGAAAAAAAAAAGAGGAGCACACATGGAGACACATGGTAGCCTAACAAAAACACATATACAGTATCATTCACAAAAAAAAAAAAAAGCACAGAGGCTGACAGCGGGATCTGAACGGAAATGCATACTCACTTTACGGGCTGATCCTCCGCCGCGCTATCCATGAGCTTTTTCCTCGCTTTTCTCCACCTCCCGGTAATCACGCACCATTCAAAGCCAAGAGGTACACCAGCTGAAACATGCCTGAAACCATCTCATAAAAATCCATTCGCCTCTGGCAAGTCCCGTCGGTGGTCAGAAAAAAAAAAAAAAAAAAAAAGCCACATGCAGCTTTTTTTTCAGTTTGTTAATTCTCTGGACCGACAGCGGAGGAGAAAAGAGGAGGAGGAAGAAGAAGAAGAAGAAGAGGAGGAGGAGGTGACGGTCGGGACTGGGCGCCCACACGCTGCCCTTCCTGGCGCGGCTACGTTATTTTGTCCGAGAGCGCTTTGAAAAATCCGCTGAGGGGCAAGTCACTCAGTCAGTATGTATGCGCGCGCACGTGTCGGAGCGTGTTGGTTGTGTGCGCGTGTGACTGTGTGTGTGTGCGCGAATCGATGAGATACGTGCTTGATTGGGTCTCCCTTGTTGTAATAATGTACATGAGGAGGAGGAGGAGGAGGAGGAGGAGGAGGTGACGAGCTCAGGCTGCTCCCATGCATGCGGGCTGGCTTGGAGCGCACGGATCAGCCGAGCTGTAGCGCCTACTGCCAAAACACTTTCTTGGCCGCTGATTTTTCTCCCGTTTTTTTTTTCTCTTTCTTTACGTGGCCTGATAGGAGCTATTTAAATCAGCCACGCAGCGAACCAGACGTGTCTCCCCACACTGCGCTGCGCTCTCCTTCCTGCGCCTCAAGTGACCGGAGAGGCGCAAAACTCTTCACCAAGCGGTGTCCGGTTTTTTTTTTTTTTTTTCTTTTTTCTCAGACACTGGATGGAATGAAATAAAGTACTTGTTTTCTTTACAGGTAAGCTCACAATCTTCCCTCAGATGAGATAGAGGTTATTCAAACATTTTCTGGAGATGCAGTCGCTCCTTTCCTCGCAGTGTTTCACCTTATGAATGAAAGTTTTTTTTTTCTTTTCTCTTTGGATTCAACTGAGTTGGTGACGATCAAAATATTCTCTTGTGTTTTTCAGGCAAATCCTCAGAGTGGAACGCGTGCCTTCACGGCGGTGAAAATAATGGATAAAAGATTCTTGTAGAGGGAATGGAAGAACAAGGGAGGGTAACAAGGGTGAGTTGCCAAAGGCTGTCTCCCTCTCTCTCTCCCTCTCTCTCTCTCTCCCTCTCCTGTCTTCCTCTGAGCCAGACGCGGTGCTGCTGCGCCTCGTCTCTCACGCTCGTCAATAGCCAGAGAAACAGCTTTCTTCGTCGGATCCACCGAGGGAATCAGATCTTGAAACCAGCCTTTTCTGCCCTGTATCGCTTCTCTCGGGGTTAACCGGGGGAGTCCGTCCGTTCCTCCGCCGTTCTCCGGGCTCGTTGGAAGGTTTGGTGATTGGTGACTCTCCGCAGAACGAGGATGTTTTCGCCGTAATCTCGCCGCGACTGTGTGCGCCGCTCCACCACTACATGCCGTTAGATCCGCCCAAGCATCTGTCCGTCTTTCCATTGGCGCATCCATCAGTGTCACACACACACAGACACACTCGCTCACACGCACGCACACACAACTGCGCACATTCCTTGCGATACTCCAACACCCCTCCCACTCCACCGTGTACACTCAAACACGACACTCATGCACACACACACACACGCGCGCACACACGCAACTTGCACGCGCTCGCGGGCGATGGAGAGCTCTCCTGCTCTCCGTCTGACTGACACAGTCCACTCAGTGCAAGCCAAATAAAAGATCGGCGCTTCTTCACTTCCAAATAGGATTTCGAGTGATTTGTGACTCCTCACGGGTGCGAGCACCAACAACAAATATCTACAAGAACAGAAACAAGCACAACGTGTGTCAGGTTTCAGAATTTTGAGACATGGAAATACTTTTGCATTTTATTACAGGCTCGGTGGGGCTGTGGGTGTTTTTGCTCTCCGCATGCAAAAAGAAAAAGAAAGAAAGAAAAACCTCAACTAAAAATGCTCTCTGTGTATATACATATATATGTGTTATGCCAATACTTTTTAGGCAGAGCATTTCTGTGTGATTAAGTTAAATTAACAAGGTCGCTTTCCAACTCCCACTAATTGATAATAAAGGTGGCTCCACATTGTTCACTACTTAATGCTACTAAAATATCTCCAATTTACCCCCTATTTTATTCTAGTTTGTAATCTTACATTTTAATGTAAGTGCACTTTCCCAGGACTATATATAGAATTTCTTCTCCCTCTTCATCTCTTTTTCTCTGTATGTGTGTGTTCTGCAGCACACCTGGAGGGACATCACAACGTCTCTGCTCGCTTCTGAAAATTTAGCTGCTGTCATTTTACAAATCTTGCCTGAAAGTGTTCGGAACTGGGGGAAATTATGGGGTGTGTGTGTGTGTGGGTGGTGGGTGCATGATTCCCAAATGCATTATCACAAACTAATTATTTCTTCTTTTTGAAGTATGATACCACCATTTAGAACGTTAGACAGTCATCAGTGGAATGTGCGCTAGATTTTTACGCATCTGCTGCTGAACTGGGTAGAAGAAGGTGCCAGATGTGTTTGGGAAGAACGCACCCAACATGTACTTTTAGACCAGATTTTGACTTTTGACTTCATGGCACACAGATAGTAAAAGTTTTAGTCAATGCAACATCAGGGATCTTTATTTTTATGGCTATCTTTTTCCCTCGTTCATCATCGTTTCACCTTCGTTCTTGGTCATGTTCAGCACTAATCCGTGTTCTAACGGAATAAAAATGGTGATGAGTATACGTTTAAACCTTGATAATTATTCTGTTCAGTTATTGTAGTCACTTTTTTTTCAAAATTTCACACAAGATTTATTAAATCAATGAGTGTGTATGTGTGCGTAAGAGAGAGAGGGGGAGAGAGAGAGAGAGGGAGCTGCAGAGAGAGGGAGAGAACGTCTCAGGTTCACGACATTAAAACGGTTACATAAAACTTTCTAAAGTACTTAAGGCACTAAGAAAAGCATCAAGCTGTGTTACAAAAAGTAATTCAATATGATCCATATCTGGTAAAGCTGTGCGCCTTTTAATAAAAACCACTAATATTGTCGGAACTGGAATCGAAGTTTGTAATTTGTAATTTAAGAGGCTTGCGGTGTAATCCTGGGTCAAATTATGCCGTTTACTCTACATCTGTTAAACCCACTGAATTCCTTTTTGGTGTGTAAATTATTTTTTACTTTGTGATTACTGTAAAAGAGAAGATAACTTTATGTCTTTGACACAAATGTTCCTTTTTTGCGCATGATGTTTCTTTTCTCTGTTTCTCTCTCTTGTTTTTATTTTTTTTCAAATTGTTAAGGATGGTGGTATTTTTGTAAAATAAATACATGAGCAAATCACCACAATTTAATTGATGTCTGCTTGTATCATACAAGAAAACTGCAAAATAAATAGGCCCAACGTATCAAATTCAGACAGTGTTAATACTTTCCAGAAGGCCTGTGGGTTAAACATCCCAGTGTATCTCTGAGTTGCGTTTTCATGTTCTCACTGATATTAAAACTAATTTAATTCGTCTCTCTCGTCTTCAGTTGCTCGCAATTGTGATATTCAAGTAGCACTGATGATGTGAGCAGATTTACTTCCCCCCCGTCCAGAACAGTGCATCATACAGCAAAATAAAACTGCGGTGGAACGCCAGGGTTTGTTGGAATTACAGGCTTTATAAACGTTGACGCGCATAGTTTTATATTTGAGTGTTTGAGCCATAAAGTGTATTTAAGGATGTAGGGAAGATGAGCGTGCGAGTCATGAAGTTAATCATAAACAGTTGTAATATTGATTCCACCACCAACTGTACTGAGATACTGAGCGTAAACGCATCAGTGCGACAACGCGCACACATTTCGGTCCAGACACTAAAAGGTTTCGTGCCGTGTGTGTCTGCGTGTGCGCGGGTGTGTGCATGCATGTGTGGTGAAAGGGGGATGCAGTGAGGGAATCGGGAATTCGCCTCTGCCTCCTGCCGCTGCTGGCTTTACGCACAAGCCGGAGCACCAAACGTCTCTCCACGGACGCGTGGCATGGCGCAATTTTGGCACTGCACGATGAACGCTTGAATCAAGATTCGTTTTACTATCCTTTCTCCTAATTAAAGAGCAGACAAGATAGTGTCGAGACTAACTGAAGTTACACAGAGACCTCATCTAACCAGGCGCGCGCACACAAATGTCCAATGCGCATTTTGGATAGAAAATCTACTTTATCACTTCGATGTGTTGTGAGATACTGTCTTCCCAGTAATAAAACCAGTAAACACAGAACTTTAAACGTTTTGTGCCGTTATCTGGGTGGAATTCTCTTAAGTCCAAATTAGATTTTCTTGTTTTTCTTTCTTCTTTCACGAAGATCACTTTTCCAAAGAGAGGCGGCGTTGCGCACCGCCTTCACGGCACACTGGTTTCTAGTCGAGTGGATAAAGAGCCATAGGGAGGGACAGTCAGCAGACCAATTTGGGAAAAAAAAAAATTAAAAGCCTTTTTTTTTTTTTTTTTTAAAGAAAAGAAACGTTTGATATACAGCAGGCTATGTCCCCTCCCAAATCTCTTAATTTATGGCATAGCCCCTGAATCCTTCCACTCGTTCTCAGCATGACCGCTCGTTTCAGCACAGCAAAGTGAGGCTCTTGCTGATAAATATGTGAAAGGTGAAAAAATGTAGCAGGGAGGTCACCAAATTCGCTGGCATGTATAGGTTCAGTGAAATCCTGCTTCGATATTGTTTCTCTTGAGAAATGATTTACCATGACATTGACTTTAATACCCATGTTTTCCCTAAAACACTGGAAAACATCCTAAAAGCTTTTTCCTACTAATTCTGTTAGAATAATGTGCTTAGAAAACTTGGCACTTAAGTTAAATAAAATTCTTAAAGAAACTGTTTGTTAATGTGAACAAAAAGAAATTATCTCTCTATTACAGTGGAATTGCTTAAAGGATGTAGCTCCTTTAAATTCTTCCTTTAGGTCCATAACTTCTTTTTTTTTTGTTCTCCCCAAAATCTGCTTTTTGTCACCTTGTTTTTAATTTCCTTCATCTCAGCCTAAGGCCTTGCCTGTGGCTGTTGGCCAAACCATCCTACCTTACCCTCCCTCAATTTTAGACAGACTGTTTTATTATGTAGTGTTAAGGTTTCATCGATATCCGAATGACCTCCAAAAGTAGCCTTCCCCAACGCAGGCCAGTGGTGATGGAAAAGGAACCTATTTGCATGGAAAGACAGAGAAAAAAAGGAGGCCAGGGTTATACTCTCCTCAAATAACCTTAAAAGTTACAAACTCCCACCAAAAACAAGACAGCGCATTGACAGGAGAAGCTGAAAAAGATAGAGTGGATGTTCTCTCTCTCTCCGTCTCTCTCGCTCTGTCTTTCTCCCTCTTTCTCCATCTCTCTCTCTCTCTCTCTCTCCCTCCCTCCCCACCGTCCTCCCTCCCTCATCCCTCGTTGGGTGTGCTGCGGAGCTAGCAGGGTTGAGAGGGCAAGTGCTGACCAGCCCTCTTTCTTTCTCTGTCTGCTGTTACTAGGTCACCACACACACACACACTCACACACACACACACACACACACACACCAACAACACAGACACACGCGTATGCACACACACCTCTCCTTGTGGTCAGTGTTGCCACCAGGGAGAGGGGTAATTTAAGTCCTCCTTGATGCAGCCTATTCATCACTGTCCCGTGGTCCGTGCTTCAAAATTAAAGTCTGATCTACAAAGTTAGACTGAAATGAGATAAAAATTGGCAGAGGTCACAGAGGGCTGGGCCAGTCAAAACACAAAGCCGCTGCTCAGCTGCGCCACAATAAGGTGCTACTTTTAGTCTTTTTCTTTATATTTTGTAAGAATTCTGATTGTATTTTATTTTTTTGTTTTTATTTTTTGGAGAAAACGTCAAAATAACATGTTAGGAAGGCTGATGGGTGCATGGCAAGAAACTTGTAAGGCTGCTCAGCAGTCACAGCTTCATTAGCATCGTTTGAATTAGAAGTTACACATGTATGTGTATCCTGTACAAGTAAAAATTAATTGCAATTAAGCACTCTATGTGACATTATAAACTGACACTTTTCCTAATATTCTCGTTAAAATATGAT